TGTTGTTGTTGATTTGAATTTAATGTCGAATTCACTGAGCTCCATGGCCTACTTCACTAGTCTTCCAAAAGCTTCGGGTTTGTGTAAGACTTGCCTCATCGGTTGATCTATCCGAACTTCAATGGTGTGCATCTGAAAGTAAGGTCTTAGCCTCCTTATAGCCTCTAAGAGCCTTGATGCAAAAGTAGACCGGCTTTTGGGCTCTCTCTTTGTCCTTGACTAAAGTGACACTGACTGAAAAATCAGATATGGCCAGATATAAGGTTAGGACCTCTCCTTCTTGTGGGTTGACTAGCACTGGTGGTGAGGTCAGATAGGTCTTCAGGGCTTAGAAGGCTTCCTTAAATTCTCATCCCACTAGAAACTGGCCTTTAGAACTTTGAAAAACAGATGACAGTTGTCACTGAAGTGTGAGACAAATCGATTAAGTGTCGCGATTCTCCCGGTATGGCACTGTATTTCTCAAATTTTAGTGAGAGACTTCATTTCTAGAACAACGTTTACCTTCTCGGGGTTCGCCTCAATGCCTCGACTGTTGACTATGAACTCCAAAAACTTCCCTACCAAGACTCTGAAAGCACACTTAGTTAGGTTTAGCTTCATCTTATATTGACATATGATCATGAACAATTCTTGAAGATGTTGAATGTGGAGCTCAAACATAAGAGATTTGACCAGCATATCGTCTATGTATACTTTCATAGTTGATCCAAGCTTTTCACAGAACATTCAATTGATCAACCTCTGGTAGGTGGCTTCGGCATTCTTTAGCCCAAATGGCATGACTTGGTAACAAAATATCATGTTCTGTGATGAAGTAAGTTTTTTCTTGGTCATTGGGGTCCATCTTGATCTAGTTGTACCCCGAGAAAGCATCCATGAAACTAAGGAGCTCATGCCTCGTAGTGGCGTCGACTATCAAGTCAATCTTGGGCAAAGAAAAATTGTCCTTAGGGCATACATAGTTCAGGTCTGTGAAGTCGATGCATGGCCTCCACTTCCCATTGAACTTCTTGGACAACACCACGTTGGCTAACCATGTCAGGTAGCCAACTTCCTGATGGCCTTTGCTTGCAACAGTTTGGCCACTTCTTCATTGATAGTCTTTTGCCTTTCTAGGGCAAAACTCCTCCTTTTCTGCCTAATCAACTTGCAGTTTGGATCGACATTGAGTCGATGCACTATCACTCCAAGATCGATCCCCTCCATATCTTCTTGTCTCTAGGAAAATACATTAACGTTTTCCTGTAAGAAGAGTATGAGTTTGTCTTTGATATCCTATAGCAACATTGAGCCTACAAAAACCACCTGCTTAGGGTTCTTGTCGATCTGCACTAGCTCTAGCTGCTCCGAAGGTGTAGGTTGAGTTTCAATCTCGTCTTTCATATCAAGGTCTTCCAACTGAACAGATTACACTTCTTTCTGCCTCATAGACGCCACGTAGCACTCTCTGGTGAGGCGCTGATCTCCCTTTACCACCACAAATCCGTTCTTCGTAGGAAATTTCATAACCAGGTGGTATGCCAATGGAACGACTCTAATGGAGTTGAGGGAGGGTCTTCCAAGCAAGACGTTGTATGCAAAAGGGGCTAACTATGCAACAAGGAGAACACTCACTAATGTACAGAAATGTGAGCTAACTATGTGAGTCCAAGATCAAGAGGTTACATTCAATGTATTTTCAGCTATGAAATTTTCAAAGGAAGCGGAAGAATGTTTTTGGGTTGATTTATTTGAAAAGACAGTGAATGAGGTATTCATAGGAAGTTGTATTTCAGATCCTCTTGAGAACGCTAAGCTATATAAAGAGGACATGTTCCCACATGGGGTAGTCGAAGTCAAGGAAGCCAATTCGAAGAGAACTTTCAAGGTGAAAGGGCAAAGACTTAAGCATTATTAGGGCGGCGATAATGAATGTGAAAAGACCTCAATTAACCTTGTCTATCCGGGATGAAACAGGAAGTAATCAGGCTGAAGAATATAAAACAAGTGCTATTTGGGAGGTAACCCAAATTTTAGTTTTTAAGTTTTATTTCATTTTATGTCACTTTAGTTTGTTTTTTTTTTTTAGGAGCAATTATGATATTAGATTATTAGTTCATTTTAATTAGCATGTCAATTGTTTGCAAGTCCCAAGGATTGAACAATAAGGGTGGAGCTTGCTCAAGCTCACACAAGGTGCTAAAACCACAAAATCAACATTAAAAACAAGACTTTAGCGCCACACTCAAGGACAAGGATCTCACCACATCAAATCCTATTCTTCCAAAACTTCAAGGCTTTAAAAATCTACTCACCCCAACTCTAATTCACCCATAATTCCATTGAACAACCTTGGATTTCCCGATCTCCTTTACTCAACAATCTTACCTCTCAAGTGGCATCAATGAGTATCAACTAGCACCAAGGATTTCTCCATTCTCCATGGGTAAAGATTACGCTTCGCAATGTAAGTTTCCAAGTCCATCTATATTTTTCGAATACACTCCCAACTCAACGGCCGATGAAGAAGCTGACAACGATGCCGACTAGCGAAATTTTGAGGAAGTCCTCTGTCTTAATTTTTTCTACTTTACACATTGAGGACAATGCTTAATTTAAGTTTGAGGGTGTTTTCTTGTTTGCATTTGCATTAGTAGGTATGCATTTAGATAACATGATTTAGTACGACTTGAGCAATGAGTTGATTGAATTTGATCATGGCCAATGATGAATGGAATTAATTGTCAATTTAAGGAAAATTGATGAACATGTTGAGTCTGTAGTTTGACATATTAGTTGGTTTTACACTATTTGTGATATTTTCATTCATGAGCACATATCCATCTGTTTGGTTAGTTATTATTTAGAGAATTTATTTGGTTAAATGCTTGTGGGAGATATCATTGAAACTTTAGAAAACTTATTTAAGCATTATTCAAAGCAAATTGAGGTATTCATATAAGTTTTGATGAAATCTTAGTTATGATGGGATAGTATAGAAAAAAAAAAGGTAATTTTTTGAAAATTATTTTGATTTGATCCTTCATGAGTTAGATGAAAGAAAAAAATACGAAAAAAAAAACAAGAAAAGAGCATGTGGTGAGTAGAGATGAAGTGTAAAACGCACTCACTCATAAACACATGTTGAGAACGAGATAAAACGTAAAATGCACTTGTTCAAGAAAAGGCGAGATGGAGCATAAAATACACTCGCTCAATAGGAGGTGAGATGGAGCATAAAATACACTCACCAAATGAATGAAAAAGATAAAGAAAAAAAAGTAAGAGAAAAAAAATCTTTGGACCTTCTAGTTATATAGTTGCCTTAATAAGCAGAGGTTGATGTGAAATGTAAGTTCATAGAGTTGATATTAAGTATCTCCTATGAAGTATTTGATTACGTAAATGTATTTGGGTGATGACTAGCTGGATAGTTCGAATATGTACATGTATTTAAAGGGTCACGAGTGGAGGTAAAATTAAGCAGTACGTTAAATTGATAGATTTTGCACTGTTTTGAAGTTTCCGGTGAATTATTATTTATTGTAACTTTTGGGGTCATTATTCAAATTCATATTGATCCATTGTTGAATAGTTGGTTGATTAATTTTTATGATTTTTGTTCTTAGTATTTTGCTGGAAGACAAGCAAATATTTAAGTTTTGAGGTATTTAATGAGTGAGTTTTATACCTACGAATTTAGTACTTTCGGCTTAATGAATTTGCAAATTTTTAATTATTTTATATTACTTTTTATTTGTTTTGTGTGTTTTGATGTTATTTGATAGGAATCGTCATTTGGAAGCAAACAAGATCATTGAAAAGAAACAAAGTCAATTTGGAGCCTAAGTGTTAAATTTTTGAAGGCTAAGCAACAAGGGAAGATTTAGGCTTAAAAGGGATCGGCGCATTTTCAGCGCCTAAGCGCTCACATTCTGCCCAGCCAACACATTTTGTGTCAGATTGATTTTGAGTTGGTGTCAAAAATTCCAAAACTCAAACCTTTCATGTTTAATAATTGTGTTGAGATGTGTAAACACTAACCTGACCTTGTCATTAAACAAGTTATCCGAACCCGACTTGTTTGACACGTTTAATAAATAAGTCGTTTTCGGATTAACATAGATAACATGATCTATTTAACTTGTTTAGCACACATAATACAGACTTATTCAACACACATAATCTATTTCTACACCAGTTCATTACTATTAAATACACCATTCAATCATTCATTCAAAATTTAAAATAATTTTTTTACAAATAACATCACATCTCATCAATCAAATTAATTAAAATGTATTCAGTTTTCAACCCAAATATTAAAGCAAGGATTATATTAGTACATTGTCATAATAATGTTAAGAACTATACTGTTAATTATCATAGCAAAAGCAAAAACTAATAAGTAATAATATTGAGATTATATCAGTCGTACATAATATATAAACTATACTGCCATAAATGGGTTTAAACGGGTCTACAATGGGTTAGATCGAATCGGATTCAAGTTCTTGATGGTGTAGAGTTTCAATATGTCCAAGTTGGTTCAATGATTTTGCCTTTATTTTATCTATTTAAAAGATATTTGTCCTTATTTGTGTTGATGTATCTTAAGAAATCAGTCGACATTCTGTTAGTAAACAACTAAATTATTTTAAGACAGACAGCTGACAAATAACATGAAAGGAAGAAAAAAAACTATGTTCCAATGATCAGAAAGTAATGATCAAAGAGTAATAGAGCTGATAAAGCAAAGTGGTCATTGCTTGGAGGCATGATGGATGGTAGTCTCTCTTCTAGGAGTGAACTCATTCCCACATTCATCGTTCAAAGCAAGAAACGGCACGGTGAAATAATCTTCCCAGATAAAACTTACTTTGTCACCAATAAAAAAATTGGAATGGCCACTTTTAGTGCAAAGGATTATCCAGGGGACAGCCAAAGATTGACTACAATTTCAGGATAACTTGCAGCATCAAGAACCTGGTGCAATTAAACCAGAGTACTAATCAAATGAACACTTAAATGCAGCAAATATACTCATCAGTTCAAAGGAGGATTACTTGGGTCCTGTAAGAAGGCAGTTTACCTCCTCGTTAGCACACGAAAAGAATAATTCATTAAATACAAAGTCTGGACCTATACATACATCTGAAATCACACCCCAAAAACTACAAATAAACTGCCTTTTTCTTTTTCTTCTCTCAGTTAAATGCAAACATAACTTTCAAAACATGGAAGCAAGAACATTGCTAGCAATTATATCAAAGAATGACTCTTGAAACAACCCCGTCCATTAAGTACAGAATTAAAGCCACCACAAACTTAAGTATCCACTGCCTCACGTGCACACAAAATAAGTGAGAGCATAGCATTGATAGAGATGTGACAACTGAAGGACCTAATGCCACCGATCTTTTATCAAGTGTACCATTGAAACAGTGTCCTTCCTCTTGAAGCTCTTCCAGGATAATGTAACTGCTTTATCCATACATATGTCACGCTAACAAGCTTGGAGACCGCAATAGAATAATTAAGCAAACCCGCCTGGCATTGTCACAGTTTGTGTGTCACATTTAAATCACAGCAAGCCAGCTTTCTTAAGAGCAGCTTCAAAATCTTCGTCACTCCTCCATGAGGGCACCTGTATCCCATAAAAAAGCAAGAACACGCAATTAGACACAGGCAGCCTTCTTATTCCTGCAATAGTTTTTATCTACAATCTCATGCTTATCCTAAAAACAAATACACTCGGTTTTTTTCTGCAAGTTAAACATAGCATCAGAGGAGGAAAGAGAAAGAAGGGGAGAGAGGAGGGGAAGGAGAGACTCATAATCTCTTACTCCAACAGCAAACTAGTTTTGAGACACTAAAGTTCACAGTAAATACCCACAAGCAGATCTTGGGAGCAGTATAGCAAAAGATATGAAGAGAAATAACTCAGTACATTTAGCAAGAATTACCTCATCTACTTGGGAGTTGTAATACTTCTCAATCTTGGCCATAATCATGACGTCTCTATCACCGCACAGCAAGTTAAATACAGCTCCTGTCAGAATGATGTAATCATGTAAGTATTCTTCTATAAATTTTGGCCTTTCCCTTGGTTAAAGAAACTTTTTGCATCACTCAGGTTGCCTGATGGAGAAATACTAGGCCATACTTGTTCATAGTTTGCACCAAAAAACACAATACAAAACAATTGTTTTTTCTACTAGCCGCCAGATCACTGCATGAATACTTCAACCCCCAAGTTAAACTGTTACTATAAAAAGTTGACCTCTGCTTGGGAAAGCCTAATACAATATTGTTCAGTGCTGGAAAGGAAGGAGAGAGAGGGGAGGGAGGGGGGGATCAAACTGACAACAAAATCCTAACATTAGCAGATTTTTCCCCAAAAAAGCAAAAACAATTACACATGCTAGACATACATAGAAATAGAGCATGTAACCATTTCCACATTTAAAGTATGATAAAAATAGACCGAGTTACATTTCAACATTAGAAACACAATACAACACGATGAACTGAAGATCAAACTTACAGGACAATGAGAATAGAAATAAAACAATACATAAACATGGTAGAAAAGAGAGACCACGGTGGGGACCCGAACACATAATGATATTAGATACACAAATCATGCATTCTGAATCATTAGATGATAAATTTAATGAAACATGCATGACAGGGAAAAAAATCATTAAATAGAGAATTTTACCTTTGCGACCAAATCGCCCTGCCCTACCAACCCGGTGCAAGTATACCTCATAATCAGGTTCTGAAGGATTATTGTATTTAACCGGAAGGTCATAATTCACGACCAAATTCACCTATTGAAAGAAACCGTAACACATCGTTGGAATGTGGAGCATAAAACATGAAGTTACTAAGCTAAAAATTAAAGGACGGGGAAAATTTAGGGAGATTAGCACCTGTGATTGATCAAAACCCCGGGAGAGGACATCAGTTGATATAAGAACTTGGGTCAGTCCATCTTTGAACTCCTTCACAATCTTGTCCCTATCTTCTTGCTTAAGAGCACCTTGAATAGTTGTAACCTCATACCCATAGTCAACAAGCGCTTTATGCAACATACTTGCGCTATTTCTTGTGCGAACAAATATAATTGTTTGCCCCAACTTCTGTCCTAGTTCCATAATTTTGTCTTTAATCACCAAAATCTTTGCAAGTTCATCAGGACATTTGACCTTATATTGCTTCACAGACTCCAGTGACAATTCTTCTTTGTTCACTTTTATTTCATTGTAATCTTTTAAAAAGAGTTCTTTAACGGTCTTCGTCACAAAGGCCCTGACAGCATCATCAAAAGTGGCAGAAAACAGGAGCACCTGGCAATAGGAAACCCCAAAGAAAAGTCAAGTATTAGATCCATATTAGAAATGCGACAAATTTCTTGATGAACAAAATTGAAAACCAGAAAATATTTTTGAAAATTAAATATCCACTAAAATCTAACCAATAAAATGCATCCTTTGCTATTTTCAGTTCATTGTTTCTTAATGCATAACTGTTTTCGATTTGCCCTTCACACTAAAAATGACAAATCCTCTAGGCATTCTGCTGATATAGAAATTCATTCAAGATTACATTAAAAAGTATCCTCACCAGTGAAAACAAACAGTGGACAAATACTAATCAATTCGACTTAATGTCCAGGTGACTACTTTCCCAGGAAATAACTAAGCCTGCTATGTCTCTACCCAGAAGGACCTGGCCCTTTTCAAACACTTCCATCACAACTGGAACTGGAAACTATTATTCACAATCAATGGCATGGCCATGCAATACTAAAGTTCAAGGATTTTTGCCTTTCTAGTGGCATAGTGTTAGATAACCCCATCCGATCCCCAATTCTTTTTCACCCCAAAAGATCATGCTGGGTGAATTGTGACCTCATACATAGTGTTGGGTGAGCAACAGCCGCTTCATCACAGTACTTACTCATTGGCTAACGGGTGACACTTTGGCCAAGTATCCTACAAGGATACTCCTTGGCTCCCCAATACAATGGATTAACAACTTCCAACGAAATAATCAAATATCTCCAACTGTTTCAGTTTCAAATGGCTCCTATAGGATATAGGAAACCTGAATTTTTCAAGTATATCCAAACTTCTACAGGAACCTAGGAATCACACCTTCCTTATATGCATCTGCATTAGTGAATCCAGACACCCAACAAGAATTGAAGAGGCGTTTCAAGTAAAGTAGTTAGGCTCATGTGGAAGAAGGAAAATAGAATAATTTTCCTTTAAACAGTTTCAGTAGCAAAGTCAACAGAGTTTATTTTCAATATGTTACATATTCCAGCTGCCTGAAGTGACTTCAGTACTCAAGTAGCAGGCGAAACCGCAATCCGCACTATGCAACAGTATATACTGTTTAGTTCATGAGAAAGGGAAGAGTAAAACAGTGCAATCAGAGACATTACAAAATGAAATCTGATTCAGATGGAGTTTATTATGTCAACTGGTTTTAGTCTAATGGTGCTGAATTCGTGCCTTACAAAAAATCTGAAATCACAATTAGGATATTTTTAGGTTAACACAAACACGAAAAAGGAAAATAGATGCATCTTATCATTCCTGAAACCCCTCCCCCCCCCCTTTTTTTCTCTTTCACCCCCCAAACAACAAATAAAGGCAGACGGAGGGGAGGGAATCTGCAAGGAAATTTTGAATCTAAGCAAATTTTCGTTGCTTGAGAAACATCAGCTTAAGATCTGGTTGATAAGACAGCCTAAAATCAGCCTTACATACACATCTAATAAACAATCTAAAATCACTTATTCAAATAGCAATGTGCACAGTGCACTCAACTATTGAGAAGCATATAGTGCAAACTTATCCATCCCCCACTTTATAAAGTAAAGTAATCATTCACATGCAGATGGGTAACTAACCTGGCAGTCAGGATTGCACCTAACAATTGCCTTCATTATCCTCTCTGAGTCGTCTTTAAAGCCACTCTACACCTTAAAACAACCTCAATGAGCAACAAAGATCGAAAAAAAAAAAAGTTTCATGAAAAAAACAAAGTATCTACAAAAATTGCAGCCAACCATTTAAATCACATCAATAGGTCATAAATTTACAGAAACATACAACTGCAAATTTTATGCTAAATTTTCAAATTCAACCTTACTTGAGGTTTGCCCCTTTTTCCTTTTTCTTTTTTTCTTTTCTTTCTTCCAAGTTTGGAGTAGAAGGGGACAGGGCAACAGGCTTCAAGAATAATAGGAAGTACCAAATAAAGAGTTGAGATGATAAAACTATCCCATTGGAGCTACATATTTTAATTACTTATTCTTCTTTTCAATAGTAATTTTTCTTCACAGCAAACCATAAAACTGGCGTAACAAAAACAGAACTTTATGATATCACAAAGATGAAAATCAGTTCAACGACGATCTGATTCAGCACTAGTGACGCCCATGAAAGACTCCCATTTTACTCGTTAAATGTTAGTCAATTGTGGCACCCCAAATAATGAATATCCAAACCAATAATAATCCAATGTATAAGTACTGAAAAATGCTGGTTGTTTGTAAATATATGACAATGGAAAATGTATAGCTTTGAGCTGTGAAGCTTGATGAAGCAACAAAGGGAAACTCAGCAGATGATATACATAAATTTTATCAGAAAACATATCCATAAGTTATTGTAGCACAGCAATGACCAAAGCCTGACATCTTACAATTCTTAAAAAAATGAAAAACATCTCCAAGGCAAAAAAAGAAAAATAGATAACAAGAACTCCAAAAAACAACCAAAATCAAGCACATGAAGCAGAAATATTCAAGGAACACTCCTAAGTAATTCATATTAATAAGTAACACATATTAGTTGCTGATATCTCAGTTTTTGTAGGGCCCGAAAACAAGTCACCCACAGGTCAACTAGACAGTATAGAGTTAAATGGACAAATTAGCTTATAGAATGAGAAGATTTCACAGACAATATAAACTGTTACAAGTATAAAGTTAATAAATAAAATGCATGTGAAAAAAAGATGCTTGAACACAGCGTCCCAAGAAAATCTATGAGAATACCTCCGCCAACATGTGATCTGCCTCATCAAACACAAGAATCTTCATTGAACTCAAGCCCAATTTCCTCGCTGTAACCCACCTATTGATCGTACCAGGTGTGCCGATCACTACCTGAGCAGTGATAGGCGCTCGCTTCGAAATGGGCAAATAATTAGCGGTATCCGTTGGCACAGCGCATTCAGTTGTTATCCCTGTGTACTTCCCCATCTTCTGAAGAACTTGCACATTCTGCACAATCATCCACGTAAATGCACAAAATGTTCGAACAGTAAACAAAAAATAATTCGACATAAAGATTATCTTCAAAAAAATTTCAGAACACACCAATTATCCACTTAATGCCACAATCTAAACCTACTCACACCCTAGGCAACACCATCAGTTGAGCATAGACTTGCAATCCCAATTCCCAAGAGAAAATATACCACTAGTTGGCGGCCAACCAACAAAAAGATTCAAGAATCACATGTATACAAACAATTATATAAGACCACCAGAGAGTCTAGACGACCCTCCATTCTCGAAGGATGTCTTTAGTCCTGCATAAAGTACCTCAAAAAGATCAATTGAGTTCGAAGTAAAGCTAGAGGGTAGTGGGAAGGTGAGGGTCTTTGCCATTGCAAATCCTCTGTTTCAGGTCTTAGTCCGGCCTTTACATGATTGGGTGATGGATGTGCTAGGTGCCCTTAGGAAATCTTTCCTTCCTTAAATGCACTAGCACAAGATCCCCTTCAACAATTTTTCAAGGATCCGTCAAAAATGATGCATATGCACTTAACAGAAACATAATGCTGAATGAATACAACCACTATTGCGAATAATAATCATTATTCAAAGCCAATGAAGCGGAAATGATACGAAAACAGACATATACAGAGTCTCCAAGAAAAACAAAAACCACTTGTCTATTCACAATATGTGCATACAAATACAATAAACACATTACCTGAATAGCCAGTTCTCTTGTAGGGCAAATACAAAGAGCCTGAGGAGCCTGGAATTTGGGATCGACCCGACTCAACATACCAAGCGTGAAACAAGTGGTCTTACCAGACCCATTGTGTGCCTGAGCTATCATATTCTTGTACGGATGAGTCAATATCATGGGTAAACTAACAGCTTGGATCTTACTCGGCCTCTCAAATTTCATCTCTACATATAATCCCCTCAACAATTCCGGAGACAAGTTCAACTCCTCGAAGCTTTTCGCCGACGAATATATAGTACCATCAGAACTAACCTAATATCAAACAGTCTAAAATTAATCGAAATCCAAATAGAAAATTAAAAACCTAGACCTTCAGAGAGACGAAAGGAGAGAGAAGTACGGTTTCGATACTGGTATCTTCTGGATCATTGAGAAATTTATTGATTTTCTTCGATTCGTCGATGGCTAAAGAATCAATTTGGACTTCAGAAGATAATTTTTCCTCGGCCAGCGATAAATTTTCAGCTTCGTCGGTGGCTTCTTCAGCTTCATCGCCCCATGAGCGCTTGACCTCAGTCGATTTGTTCCCCGATGTTGTCGCCTTGGTGGTGGTGGTGGCTTCTTCAGCTTCATCGCCCCATGAGCGCTTGACCTCAGTCGATTTGTTCCCCGATGTTGTCGCCTTGGTGGTGGTGGTGGCTTCTTCAGCTTCATCGCCCCATGAGCGCTTGACCTCAGTCGATTTGTTCCCCGATGTTGTCGCCTTGGTGGTGGTGGTGGCTTCTTCAGCTTCATCGCCCCATGAGCGCTTGACCTCAGTCGATTTGTTCCCCGATGTTGTCGCCTTGGTGGTGGTGGTGGCTTCTTCAGCTTCATCGCCCCATGAGCGCTTGACCTCAGTCGATTTGGTCTCCGATGTTGTCGCCTTGGTGGTGGAGTCGGCCATTGAAGAGAGAAAAAAGAGAGTACAGACTGATCGAAGAAGAGAGATAGTTGACGGTGGTCAAGGTGTTTGAAATGAGCGAATTGTATTGTAGGCAACCGCAGAGAACATAGCTTCGAATATATATGGTGCAGGGCCAAGAACAAAACCGCCTTTCTTAGCTTACGGCTTAAGCTGGACGCGCCTCCTTAATTACAATTACCTCCCTTTATTTTTTTGGGCTTCTAAATGGTTCCCTATTAAGTTCTCCGCATCTTAAATTAGCGATTTACCGGGGCTGAGATCTGACAAGGAAACGTGAAGTTGGACAAAATATTCATTGCAATGGTAATACCACGTCATCACCATTGTCATCGTCCAATTAAAAGACAACAAATTAAAATAATATTATTACTCTTTTTATTGTTTTCCTTAAGGGGTACGTTATCAATGGAGAAGTTTAGATGCAGGGTGGAGGTACATGTTAATGGCAGGGGCAGTTGACCCCACTGAATTTTGAGCAAAAGCCCATAAAATTGTTGTAGGTTTAAATTTTAAAGAATGATGCCCCTCATAAATTTAAAAGTTTATATGTTGCCCCCATAAATTTTTAAAAATTTATATAGTGCCCTAATTTTTTTTATTTTTAGTAGGTCAATGGTTCACCCACTCCCTTAATTAATCTATGAAAACATATATTTTAATTGAGTAAAATAAATATAAAATACCTTTACGCATACATATTTACCAAAGACAATATCGTCTAGATTGACATTAATTTCTTGATTTTTACGTAATAATTAAATCTTATATCTTAATATTTTATTTTTATTTTAGCTTAAGAATTCTTTATTTGAAAATAACCCTCAATTCAATCGTCTTTCACGGAGGTTCAAAAAAAAAAAAAATTTTAATACCATTTGATAAAATTTTTTGCTCATATTTTTGCCTCCACTGTGATGGATATTTGACTCCGTCCTTGTTTATATGGATTAGAAATAGTTATAGAAAACTTAAAAAGAGTGATTTGCTGCCCATAAAGTCTCATGGACTTCATAATTGCTTAAAAGTAGTTAAAAGAGTGGCTGTGGTGCATTGAGACAGTCCTTCAACTGTTCTTTGTATGCCTAGCCAGCCAACCCCACTCTGAGGAATTCATGATTCGACAGCCGAGCAAGATAAAATGGACTACTAAAGAAGCCAAGCTCACTTATTGCAAAACTCTTTTTTTTTTCTACGAGGTGCCAATGTCCTTTCTGAAGAACTTGCAAATTATCACCATCAAGCAAATTACTATCTCCTACGTTTGACAAGAGCCATTGCAATATAAGCAAGTTCATGTGCCAATTAATTGGTTCACTCTTTCAAGATCAAAGCCAGAGAATTGACAGACGAAGGCACCTCTTTCTTCTCATTAGTATTTATCTTTAATTGATGATGAAGGGAAATATATAACAGGTAATGTGCCTCTACAGCTACCTTATTCAATGCCATAAACAAATTTTGGTTGGACAAATAGAACAACCATCCCCTCAGACTGCTCTATATGCTCTATGAAAGATTGGAAGTCATGCATCATAGTGGTTTTTTGTGCATTATTGGCTATTAATTCAAATTAAACTTCCATTGATTGAATAGTTTTTTTTTTCCCTTCGCATGCCGCAGTGGATCACTATTACAAAGAAACTTAATTAAATTGCTATTATAATAAAATGAAAAAGAATAGTCAAATATTAAAGCCGAATCTGCGCTAGAGAGAGGAGCTGAATGCAACCCTCAAAGGGATGCACATACATGGGTTTGTTTGGATGGATTTTTGGAAAGAGTTTGGATTGGCTTTTCCGAATCCTTCTAAATTCAAACCTCTCTTTACAAAGATGAAATTCAACATTAAATCTGGTCTATACCCATATTTAGTATGCAAAACATACATATGTAGGATCCGTGAATATATCATAATTATTAACAACTATTTGTCTTGTAAATAATTATTTTACCCTTGATCAATCTAATTCATATTTATATTAAGGGATACAATTATCTTTTACCCCTTAACCCATCCTTCCAAATCCATCACCTTAAGTTTGACGAAACCTATGATCATGAATTTAATATTCGGACCAATTACAAACTGAGTTTAAAAATTCAGAATTGAATTTTTAATCCAAACACAGGGTTTGGAGATCTTTTGACTATTTTCCTCAAACTCATCTTGTCAGGCTTTCCATACCTCATTACCAAACAACCACATAAGGTATCTAAGTACTTGGATTTAGCAATACTTTCTTTTTAATAATTTAAAAAATTTTACCTTCAATTCTTCGATTTCTCATGTTTTTTCTTCTTTTTTTTTTACTTTTAATTTTTGATCAATGATTAAGCATTGGGATTTTACGGAGCCATTAAGCTAATTAATTTGCTGGGAGAAACATACAATAGTTGTAATTTGACTTTTTTTTTTTCTTTTTTGTTACATGGTATTCAAATTTACACTGATTATTTTCTCAAATTCAGCGATTGGTCACCGTAGCTCACTTCAGACAACAACAATCACCACTATCCAGGAAAAAAAAAATTCATCGAGCGCGAGAGAGAGAGAGAGAGAAGCACACAATGATGGCAAAAGTATCACAAACAGTAAGAAATGCAAATCAATTTTGAAGAAAACTAATTATTGATTTTTATTTTTTGGTACTTGATCGAAAAATAAAAAATAATAAAAATGTGATAAATTTCTCATCAAAAAGTGATAAGCTTCACCTAAAAATGGTAAGTGAAAATTTATAATATAAAATAGTACAGACTTTAATAAGTTCAACCAACGGCCTCAAATAGATTCATCTAACGATCATTAACATTTATCTCAAAACTATTTACAATAATAAACTCTAAAATTTGATTAAATATTCTATCCAAAAAATATTATAGATACCCAATGAAATAATAAATAATACGATACTAATTTTTTTAAATATTGTTGTCAAACCCATCAATTATAAAAAAGACAGCAGTCAACGAGTCGTCCTCATGGTGGCAGCTTGGCAGGAAGCTGTGAATATCATTAGAACACACGTGCCTTCACTTTCAAATGTGATTAAAAATCATCATGCTATCCAAAAGAGGTATGAAACTTCTTCTACATCTCATGTTGGGCTCTTTGGAATCCTATGTTATGAACATGGAATAGAATATTCCAACTACAAAGAAGCAAAGTAACATTTTGATACCAAAAGAATGAATATTAAGCCTAGGTGCTTTATTAAAGAAGCATGTTCATATACATTCAAGGAATCAGATCAGCCATGGCATGTGCTCCAAAATTTCCAAATTGGGATGACTGTAGACCAAAACATGGTTGGGCTTTTCAGTTGATATTACAATAATGTATAAGATTATAGCATCAAAACTATATTTTTTAGCACCTTAGCGAGTTTTATATTTTATGGTCAAGTTAGGAAGTGTTGGAATTGATCGTAGGGATGTCAAAATATGACACAACTAGTTAATACAATACAGAATTAGAGGGTTTAGGTTTTTTTTAGGTTATTCGTTTCGTAAATAAGTGGACCCGATACAACACGATTAATAAACAAATCGAGTATGAATGAAAATAAATCAAAAGAAAATATACGACACAACTCATTTAAATATCAGTTATACACGATTCATATATTACACGAACTCGATATAATACGATTCAATAGACATGAATTCATAAATGAATCGAGTATGAGTGAAATATTTTTTGATATGAACCTGCTAAAACCCGACAATAAGTCAGGCTCACCTAACACAATTGACAAGCTCAATTGATCGGAGACACATTCCAACTATCAGTGGCATGAGAGATTATTCATGTCATGAGAGATTATATTTTTTTTTTCTCCAAATATCAGTGGCATGAGAGATTATTCATGTGCTTTCATTTATTTGTTTATTGATCTGATATGAGCAGCTAAACCAAACTAAACTTTGAAAACAATTGACTCCACCTCCCTTGTTTATGCCATGGCAGCCCTTGCCCATTGTTGGCCACTGCTACATCTTAAAAGCTTCTCTAAATGTATTAATGCCCGACATATGCTGAGGAAAAAGCTGATAACAACATCAGGCTTTCTTGTTTCATTAATTACACTGGATTCAATGACATGGTTTTGGTCGTGAAAATACGATCTAGTCATTAATTACCCTCTCCATGTATTAGAGTTAGGGGGATGTCGAAGTAGGCTCTTTGTGTAGGATCCTCATTCTCATTAACCACATTCCTTTTTTCCATAGTGATGATTCTATATTTGCAAAAGCCTTGAATTAGGAGTACCACTAACTTACTCATCGGATTATTTAACCAAAAAAAAAAGCCCTGATTTAGGATTGTTTATCCTCTATTGTATCTTTTTTCCATGTTCAAGCTGGGGGTGATTTCATAATGCATGTAGCTTAATTATGAGTATATCCAAATTGATAATTAATAATATGTTTGGAAATTCTTTGCCCTTATATTGTAACTGACTTCATCTGGCGGAAGGGTTCATGAAGCGAGGTACTTGTTTGCAATGTCTAGAGAAAGTAAAATTTCTCCAGTCAAAAAATGTAGCAAGTTTACCCATCTGATGGTTTTAATTAACCTAAAGCAATCTACTTTATGGAAGAATCTTTAAGTTTATGCCTGTGATTTTGAAGTCAATTTGCTTATTGATTCATTTACAAGTTACTGTCGCTGTTTCACTAGTTGTTACACACATCCTCTCAAAAGGAAACCAGTGTTACTTAGTCACCACCAGGTTCATCTCTGCATTTCATATCTCTTTTTCGAACTCTTTTTTTTTTTTTTTAAGAAAATATTTTAGTATGTGATTGTTTGGGCACCTGAACTGGGCTCAATATCTACTTTCTATGCAGTATAACCAGGATATTTCCTCCGGTTGCTTTAAACTTTGCGGGTGGTGCATCCATGGCTCTAAAACCAACAAACTACCTTGTACAGGTGGGTTTTGTTGTAAGTTTTTCAACTTCCTTAGTATCTGCATAGACATAATTAATCTCACTTGTTGGCGGTAAAATGTGGAACATGCAAAATGTGGATCAAGCCTGAAGTGACCAATGTTTTGTTACAGGATGGTGCTACTATGTGGTGCATTGGCTTTCAAAAAGTTCAAGACCCAGGGATAACAATTCTAGGCGGTAGGTTCCTGGCCTAAATAAGTATTCCAATAGGAAAAAGAAGAAACTATTGCAAAAATGGTTTTATTGTAATCTACTGCGCCAAGCCCCAATGCTTGGGTTGTATTTAACAACTCAGTCTTCCATGTATACATGAATGACACATGGAATCTCGTAGTATGGAATTGGGGTTACAACAAATTGTTCCCGCCAATTAGGCAGTCAATTTTGTTTATTTTCTAACAAATTGCAAGGAAATATTTTGGTTATTGATATGCTTTTCGTCTATTTTCTGTGCATAGGGTTGGAACATTGTAGAATAACCAGCTTATTAGTTTTTTATTTTATGCAGATCTTGTTCTCAAAGATAAGATCTTTGTTTATGATTTAGCTCATCAACGGATCGGATGGGCGGACCTGTCGTTTTGATTCTTTTGTGATTTATTTGAATGTCTCTTATTCAGGTTCTTCGTCTGTAAATGTCTCCATAACTTCTCGTAAGGACGAATTCATCAATGATGGGTAGCTGAGTGTGAGCAAGTCATCAAAAAGTATGCTCTTAGAGCTAAAACCTCTTGGCACTTATGCTCTCTTCATTCACTTATGGGTGTCCACTGGATTTTTATTTTTGTAACTTAGACCTTGGTATCAAAACCCCATTCTTTTGTATGATGTAGGTAGGCTTGGCTGATTTTTTGTTAGAACAATCAGCCTGCCATTGTTGTATTATTCATGTTTAATGAATATTGATCTGTTGTGGCAATATGTCTCTTACTTCATTCTGGTTGCTGGTAAACCCGACCTCCGTTGTTCTTAACCTATATGGACAGTCAGCTTTCACCTCCTAGGATGGTTCTCCATTTTGACTCGTTGCAAACGTTGTAAATCATCTTTGCTTCTATGGGTGTACAATCAAATTTTAGACATTGGAAGTAAAACAGTGTTGTTGACTGCTCATGTTTGAGCTGGTGAGTATTGTAGTGAAGGTAAAATCTTCTAGAGCTGGCTTCTTGTTGACAATGTTCATGTTTGTAAGATACTCTATTGTTCGCTTTTTGATATTTTGGTGGCCGAGACTTGTAAAATTCCAAGTTTCTGGGCTTGTGGAATCCTTGGTTGCTGATTGAGGGTAGATTTTGGTTCACTCTCACGATCTACAACTCAAAATCTATTGAGCAAGCTACCTTAACTCAGGGGTATGCAATATGTCATTTCAATTCTGTAAATTCAAACGTGTCTGGGAATTGGGAAACCTTGTTTGAAGTGAATGAACATATTGGAGCAACTGAGGATCCGTCTAAGTGAAAGGAAAATAAATTTTTTTGCAAGAACTTGGACAAGAGGATTTTTTTTTTATATATAGAAAATGTTAGTATACTTCTTATTAGCCCATACCCTTTCTTTTCTTGAATGTTATACGAGTCTATGACATATTTTTGTCCAATTTTGTAAGCACTTCACAAATCACCTTCTTCATCACTGGTCCCATTAGCTAGTAGTCTCATAACCAACCCATCAACCAACATATCCACCATCTGTCCCCCATCTCCCAAGAACTTCAACTCCAGTAGAGTGCCAATCGTGTCATGTTTATGTGATTTGTATGTCGTATTATTCATATCGTGTCATTGTTATTCGTATCGTGTTCGTATCAAGACCTACAAAAAATTTTTATTTAGTGTATTATGAACATTAAACATTAGCCTAAATTATTTATGATGTCTATTTAATAATCGTGTCAATTTTATAATCGTTTGTGTCGAGTTCGCATTAACAGGTTAGAGTTCACACCCCTAAACTCCCGTCTCCATCCACCTCCCCATCTCCTCTTTCTCTTGAATTGTAAATATGTTTTCTTGCCAGACGGTGAGTTCCTTGCGTTTCTTAAGCCAATTGCATTCCGGTACGAGATAGAGCCTTGGGTTTCTAATTTATCTTAAAATGGAAAATAATTACATAGTTTATAAGAAAATTTTTAGGAGTGGAAAATAAAAACTCAAAAAGTTAGATTTTTTTTTTGGGTCTCTTTCTCGCATTAACAATTATTTTTTTTCTGTCTCTTTTTTATATTTTCTATCATTATATCGCTAAACAAACGGACCTTTAACCAAGCGAACCCAAGGAAATTCTTTCTAGATTGGTTTATTTAAGTTTATCTACTTATGTCCAATTTTTTTTTTCTTTTTGTTGGCCGTCTTTTGAAGATCTATTTGTCTCTAGCTTTTCTGCATTTTGATTTCTAGAGAAATTAATAGTCAATTTTGGGTCGCTTATTTTAAATATTTAGGACATTAAGTAAATTACCTTGGGTCTATAGTCCAAATATTTATAACTAACGAGGTTAAATTAAAGTTCAAATAACCTAAATTACAACTCAATATCTTCAACTCAGAATCATGATCTACAATTAGTCCCTGAATAATTAAAGCCATGAGCAGACTTGCTGATGGATCAGATCAAATTTTAAATTCAATCTGAATCCATTTGGGTCTTTAGATACCGGTTCACCAATCAGATTATTTGTGCATTAAACTCGGAATAAACTCATTGAACTGGATAAAAACTGTTGAACCGTTCAAATCGACGAGTTTAATCGAACCGAACGGTTCTCTTAATTTAGTATAAATGGCTGAGTTTTGATCCTTTTGGGCATTTTGCCCTAAATCGTTCCCAGCCCTGCCTCTTCGTCTTTGATTTGCGCCTCTGCTCTCTTCGTCTTCGCGACGTTGGATGTTCACATCACAGCCCTCTCAACGTTAGTCTGTCTGTCGGGTCCGGCTCCTATGCGGTAGGAGAGGTTACCGTTTAATAAAACGGCGGTGTTTGGTGTTCTTTTTGCAATTTTTATTTTACTTTTCCTTTACCAAAACGACATCGTTTCGGTACTTTAAATCAGCATCAGACCCCTCCCTTTTCTTTCTCTTACCTTCGCTATCGTCAAAGCCCCAATTTTCTCAGCTAAAAAACAGACCCTGCAACTTACAAAATTTTATTATCCTTTTCTTTCCTGTATTTTCTCATTGACTACCAGAAAATTAATTATAAAAAAAAGATTCAAATTAAATAAATCTGATCAAAAGGTGACATTGATGAAGATTTCGACCGTTTATTCAAAGATCCGTGTTCTTCTTCTAAGGAGTCAACGATCTCTAGCTTCAACGGCAAATTGTTGCTGTTCCCAAATGTAGCCATATCCGATCTTATTAACTGAACCATCAAATCACGAGCTCCTACGAGAACGAGATTGGAAAATCCTCTGAATCTAAGAAATAATTCAATGTCTCAGATTAGAACTCAAGTTGTACGGAGAATTTTGATTGGAGAATCGGAGACTTTTTGGAAACCTTAGAAAAAAAGAAAGAAGCTATAATAAGGGGACATAAAAAAAAAGACGTCGAAGCTATAGCAAGGTGAACAAAGAACCAGACCTGACGAAGAAGAAGCGGGGGAAAGAAAAGGGAAGGGTCTGAAGCTGATTTAAAGGACCAAAATGACGTCGTTTTGGTAAGGGGAAATTAAAAAAAAAATTGCAAAAAGAACACAAAGCGACGCCGTTTTGTTAAACCTCATGATATGTGGTAACCTACTAACCTCCCCTACCTCAGAGGAGCTGGACCCCGTCTGTCTCTCTCTCTCTCTCTCTCTCTCTCTCTCTCAGTCTCAGTCTCTCTCTGCTGCACTGCGAGCAAGAAAAACCAAAAGACTCGATAGAAGTGGAAGAAACTTTCGAAATTCGAAGGAGTAAGCTGCTTTGGAGCTCCATCGAGGCATGGACGACTAATAGCAGTAGGTTCGGTCGTTCTCTCTCTCGTCTCTTTGACTCTCTATGCTATATCTGATTTTTGATTTTTATTTTGTATACAATATTGAATATACATTGAAACTTTGATTGATAATGCTATATTTTACACATTGAATGAAACTTTGATTTTTTATAGGTTGATTGTGATGGTGATGAAGCCACTGATTTAAAGAAATGAGCACACAATAAAAGTAATATAGACCAAAGGACTTTCAAGGCAATTAGTTCATCCATGTTCTTACCCAAACAGTACTCGTATGTATAGTTTCTTTGCCTATGCCAGATAATGGATTAACAAAAATATAATTATATCATTGCATTGGTCTTATTAGAAATTATAATAACAAAGAGATTTGAAGCAGGTTTGGGATGATAGGCCTTAAGATCTAAGCTCGAATGGCGTTGCAAATGTTATTTTCATGATTTGAACAAATGGGCACTCTCGGAACGTAAGCAAAACAGAGAGAGAAACGTTGTCATCCCATTCCAGACGCAGACGACGACGAACCCCCTCGAACGACTCAGAATCCGAGCCTGACTCCCTGTCGGCGTCGGCTGCGGACAGCCGTGACTCATCTCCACCGAGTCGCAAACGGCAAAGTAGAAGTAGGAGTAGCCGGCGGAGGTCGAGGGACTCGGACGATGAAAGTGATCAGAAGAGGTCGAGTTCGAGGAAGATATTGCAGAGTACATGGCAAAAAAAGCTCAGAAAAAGGTGAAAATAATCAATTTTTTTTTTTGTAAAAATCTTGTGGGATTTCTTGGGTTTGTCCTTGGCTAATGACATATATTGTGGTTTAGGCGATGAAAGTAGCGAAGAAATTGAAGTCGCAGACCGTATCAGGGTATTCGAATGATTCGAATCCATTTGGCGATTCCAATCTGAATGAAAAGTATGTCAAATTCTTCCTATGCGTTAGTATATGATTTAAGCTAAGTCAAATCCTTCATATGCATTGAGTTAGTTTATGGTTTAACCTAACATACACAAGTGATACATGCTGCTGCTTTCTTGTTTCATTCAAAGCCTCAAGTGTGTGCCTTCACTTAAAGGGTCCGTGTAAGCAATTTTGAAATTCTTTTTGTTAATGAGGACACGCTTTTTAAAATTGCGTCTGCTGAATTTTTCAATTGTATCTTGGGAAAAAATAAGAATGCATCCTTTTCAATGAGTAAATGTGCATAGGGTTAGGGCTGTGAAAAAAAAATGGTGGATTTAGCAATAAAAGCTGCTATTTTAGCATGAAGTTTATCCAGTTCTATTATGTGATGCTTATTGGATGGTTATGACCATGCTTTTTATCTTTTAAGGTGTGAGCTAGCATAAGGTAGCAATTACTAAGACTGTTAAACTTCATTATGAAATTCAATGGTGGAAACTTAAAAGAAAATCAAGTATACTGGGATAATTTGAGGTGTTATGTGGGGCAGAACCTCTACGGGAATAAAGCTTTCCTAAGAGAAGATCGTGGTGGCCTAATGTTGCATGATTTACCATTTCAAAGTCATGATAAATGAAAAATATTTGGGTTGTACTGAATGGATTGCCTGTGGGTTTAGGTGGTGGTGGCCGAGGCTGGTGTGAAGGCTGCAATTTGATGCTAGTGTACTGAATGGATTGCCTGGCCATGAAATCAGATTGGATGGTGGTGATTGCATATTTGGTTGACCAGATTGAAAAACTGCATGAATTGGTGGTTGATTACTTTTTTTGGCGATTATGAAGGGCCGTGGATAGAGGATAAGGAGGATAAGACATGGGGCTGAGAAGATGCTTTGTGGGGAGGCCAAGACATAGGGCTGAGAAGATGCTGTGTTGCTAAGAGGTATTAACAGGTGGACCTAATTAAATGTATGGCCCGACAGTTTCGCCGACATGAATGGACAACACAAGAATACTTTTTTCTGTGTGGAAGTTTGCTTTATGAAAAAATGAAGCCAGATATGTCTCTGTATTTTGTTTTTGCAATTTTCGAAAATAAAACAATAAGCAGTGGGCTTATGTTGGTGCATTCATGTTGTAAATTCGAATCTCTTCCTGATAATAGTTTTCTTATTGGTGTGATTTAAGAAATTGTTACGATTACTTTTATTAGTATCATTCTTAATTTTCTTTCATTTTCTGTGTAAGAAACTTTTATGAGGTAATTATGTTAAAAATGAGCACGAAATTAATATTTCATTTTTCATAATTGCTAGGATTCTTTTGACCTGTTTCGATCCTTATTTTGTCTTTAAATATTTTTGCTGAGCCTGACAATTTTCATGTGTTTGAGTATTACAGGGTCTGACAGCAAAAGAAATGGAAGAGCTTCATGAGGACATAAAAATGCATCTGGATTTAGAGAGGGCAACACTAGCACATATACAGTATTGGTAGGTAATCTCTTTTTCTTTTGTCTATTTATGTGTTTCGGCTCGTTTTGGTCCTTTTTGGCTCATTGTGGATCCATCTTACAATATCGTGAACGTCAAAATACCTGATGTCGTGCAAGAATGCTTCCTGAAATTTGCAAATGTTACATGAGACTCATTCCTTTTCGGAAAGAAGGATAGCCATCGTTGTTAAAAGGGAACTCTGGTTTCCGGTGTCGTGTAGTTGTCTGATACCATCGCATCTAGTTAAGGCATTGCACATACTTTCTGCATGATTTTTAGATAGTATATCTTTGATTACCTGGCTGTCCTGCAAAATATAATTCCGAAAAGGTCAGTGGGTTTGTGGAGCAAGCTGTTGGATACAATTGTACTTTAATCTTTTGTTTACAGTTTGCATTAAAGCAAGTTGATCTGCAGTTGAGCAAATAATGTAGCCAAGACTGCTGCTATGTATATTGGCTGTGAACTGTTTCTTTGGACAGCTAAAGGAGTCCAAATAGGCAAAGAAGGGAAAATTTTCCAGCAGTGGACAAGTTTTTATAAGCCAAAAAGCAGTCTGTCTTTCCAGGTTCTTGATTAGTCATTCATATACTCATACATACATATAACGGATTACAAGGAGGAAATGATTGACCATAATTTCACTCAGGCAAGAATGGCTTATACTTAAAAGAGATTGATCCCCAGCCTCCCTAAGGACAGTTTATAATTCATTGGACTAACTCATAGTCTATACACAATTTTTTCTTGATATCTAACTCTTAAATTAGATGCAGAATAAGAATCAAAACATAAAAAATCCTCAAAAAACACTAAACAGGGCTGCATATAACTCTTCCTAGTGGGGCTATATCAGTCTCCCTTGGTTGTAGAAAAATCAATTTTGAGGTTGTCTTTTTGTCTTATGCAATTCGTGAAGTTGAAAATTCAAGCAGCCATTGCCATTACATTTTTTTCGATCATTTCTTTCGTAATGCCTTACTACTGTTTGCCAAAATAAAGAACATAAATCCTGGGCCATGTTTGGTTTGCGTCTGCAAAACAGTTTTTTGTTCTCAAAATTTTAAAAACACCCAAAACCTGTTTGTTTAGCATTTTTGTTCTCTAAATTTTGGGAAAAAAATGAGATTTGAGTCAAAGAAACAGAAAACAAGTTTAGTTTGTTTTTAGAGTTTTTTTTGAAAATTTTGGAACTAAGGAGAACAATACGTATATATTTAAATATACATGTTTTTATATGTATAATATATATTATATATATATTTATATGTTTTTATATGTGTATATATATATATTTATATTTATAAAAATTTAAATATACATGTTTTTATATGTATATAATATACTTATATATATATATATATTATTATATTATATTTATATAATATAGTTTTATATATATATATACATGTATAATATATATATATTAGTCATAATCCGTGCCTAAAGGCACGATAAAATATAAAATTCGAGCGTTCAAAAAATCGATTCCACTATATTAAATTTTTTCAAAATATATTAATTATAAATTAATTAAATATTAAATGATTAAATATATGATAGAAATGAGTTGTGTGATATTTTTAGGGAGGAAATATATAAATGATTAAATATGTGATAGAAATGAGTGATGTGACTTGACATTTGAGCCTGACAAATAGATGATGCGTAAGGAAAATGATTGGTGATGATTTTAAGGGAAAAAATATGACTGGGATAAAATTCAAACACATTCTTGTTCTCAAACGTCTCCACATCTACAAGGCAAAGGTACATCGTTTACTCTTCTCGAGTTCCTTTGTATTTATGTTCTCTTGAGTTGGATCTCAACACCTAATTTATATAATTACAGGCTTGTCTGAAGGAAATTCATGCAAAAATGTTGCGGAAGCATTTGGAACGCCTCGAGCAACAGATGGGAAGCCAAGATACTTTGGAAGAGGATCAGGATTCAAGGCCTATAGAGGACGAGTCTGATCAGGGTATGGATTTTTTTCATAGCTGGTGTGTTTTTGTACTTTGGCATAAGGAATGGTAAGCTAATAGTCCTTCTGCACAGATGCTCAAGCTCTCTCTCCAGAACCCATATTGGATGAAGAGTTTCATGAGGAAGAAGAGGAGGCTGGATCATTTTTGCCAGAGCTGTTGCATGGTAATGAAAATGATGAAGCAATTGACCCCAAGGAGGACAGGGCTATACTGGTAACTTGCCTGTAGATGTCATCTTTTGTCACTCATTGACTGATTTTATATGGAAAAATATGCTAAACCTGTACGTATATTATGGTGCCTAACAGGAAAGGAAACGTATAGCCGTTTTGGAAGAACAACAAAGGCGAATCCAAGAAGCAATGGCTTCAAGGCCAACTCCATCTGAAGATGACTTGGAGATGAAAGCCATGAAAGCTATGGGAGCCATGGAAGTAGGCGATGCAGTATTTGGCTCGAGTGATGAAGTAAACCTTGATTCACAGGTATCCCATATTTGGTCTGCTTCCCCTATTATTGCTTCTGGATAACAGAGTATTTTTCACACAACCACCATTAATGTGGATGCAGGTGTACTGGTGGCATGACAAATACCGCCCCAGGAAGCCAAAGTACTTTAACCGTGTTCACACTGGGTATGAGTGGAACAAGTACAATCAAACTCACTCTGACCATGACAATCCACCTCCAAATATCATGCAAGGGTACAAATTCAATATTTTCTACCCGGATCTTGTCGACAAAACAAAAGCTCTTAGTTTTACCATAGAGAAGGATGGAGCTAGTGCTGAGACTCGCATTAAGGTTTCATGCGGGCCCTCCTAATGAGGACATCGTAAGTTGTCTTAGTCTATTAGCTGATTTTTTGGTTGAATTTTTTTACTTGAAAAACGAAGTGACTCTGTTTCTTGCCATCTTAATATAGGCATTCCGAGTTGTGAACAAAGAATGGGAATATTCTCACAAGAAGGGATTCAAGTGCACGTTTGAACGAGGAATCTTACGTGTATATTTCAACTTCAAACGCTACCAGTACCGTCGGTGATATGATAGGGCACGAGACATGCGGTTCCTGGGTCGTCAACTATGCTTTGGCATCATTCTTCCATTGGCACAAACTGGGGTACTAGAAAAGATTACTAAAGCCCAATGAAGGTGCTTTGAACCAAGTCATCGTGGTCTATTTTCACGAATGGTTCTACTAATACATAATCAGTTATTTGCAGCCTTGGACTGGACTCCTATCCTATCCTACCTCTCCTAGTATGGTTCAACTAATACATAGTCATTTATTTGCAGCCTTGGACTGGACTTCCTACCCCTCCATGTAAGTTTGTCTTTCGCGTTCATGTCTCGTATTCATGGTTGGAAGTCTAGGCTGGACTTCTTAGGTCTCTGTGAAGTTTTCTGTAGACCGCTATATTCTCATCTAGAACATGGATGCCCTCAAGTACTCATTATGGACGCGCGCCTAAGAGTCTAGATCATTAGCCATCGATTTTAACTGACTCAATATTCCATATAAAACTTGAACTTCAAATTTTAAACCCATTGATGTAGAGTTCATTCCTTGAATGTTAATGTTAGAGTATTTTAAACAAATCCTTGAATGTTAATGTTAGAGTATTTTAAACAAAAGAGTGTTTTTTATGTGAGAATTTAATCCCACGTCAATTAAACTTTTAAAACTACTTGAGTATGTATATATGTTAGTATTATCTAGACTTTGAGTTAAAGTGAGACTTTGAGATTCTCACATGTGCAAGGGTGGGACAAGTGGAGGAGACTAATGTTTACAAAACACATTGACCAGTTTAGTCTACAGCGGGGTAGCGGGTCCCCTTGGCTCGCCTAAATTGAAAAAAAAATATTAATTAGTATTAAATTTATTTTTTAATATTTTATTTAATTATTTTTTGTCATAATTCTTCTATTAAAATTTCAATTTTTGAATATTCCAAAAGTTCTAACGGTTAATTATTCAAAAGCTATTTTTTTTTATTTAATTTTAATAGTTATTATCGAATTATATATGGGAGTAATTATGAAATATTAAAAACCTATATTTTTTGTATATATATTTACATAGTTCATTATAGAAATGCACAATCTGAATATCTATTATATTCTCCTCTATTGCATAAGTTTTTGAGCAAAAATTAATAGGTGTCGTGTGAAGCTTCTGTTGTATTCGATTGTATAGATTTGTGTGAAGTAACAGTCAATTGACTGAATTATTTGTATCCTGGGATGACGTTTTGTTACCTTCTACACTGTGTTTTTTTTCATAAAAGAGCGTCAATCATCTTAAGAAATTAACTTAGTCTGTACACTTTATCTTTCGGATTCTATTTTGTCCTACAGTTAAGGACTTTCTTTCACTCCTTTTTCATTCGGGTAAAGGATTTCTAGATATCTACATGGTTGTTGATGCTCCCCTGCTTATTCATAGGCTTGTAGTCTTTCATTTAAAAGACATTCTTCCCACCACAAACATATGATGTAGTTCTGATCTTAATCTTTGCGCTATTATTAAGTTAGAAGCTCTATCAAATAAGATTATGACTTGTTGAACACATGAATATTGCTATGAATATAAATTCTTTACAAGATCTTACTTTTAATTTCCATCCAAGAAAACAAAATCAAAGGGCCACACACTTCAATGTAAGAATTATAAGTGATGATGAACAAAACGGTCCTATGCAAGTAAAGACACTAGTCCTTCAGGGAGGATAGTTATAAAAAGATAAGTACAATCAAAGACTGTCTTAATTTTTGAGAATGGGTATCCCAATTATTGTTCTCAACGTGCTTTAATTTTCTTGGACTCTTTGGGCCTTAGGCTGGGTCGAATTTACGAACAAGGCTTGATCTGTCTTTTAGCTGATTTGGATTTACTTGATTTAGTGGGTCTGATCCAATAAATCTGGACTCATCAATATGTATACTAGTGATAATCTCGTGCCTGAAAATACGTAATAACAAAAATTGAATATTAATCTTGTAATATTTATATTTTAAATAGCAATTTAGTTTTTTTTAATTACACAATTTAAAATTAAAATGAAGAGAGAGGTGGGTGTGAATTGATGAGACTGCTTGACATTAGGGACTATGTTGATGTATTGATTGAGTTATCTGACATTAGAGCAATGCAGAAAAGTTAATGTTTTTGGGAGGGAAAAAACGTTTTAGGATAAATTTTGTACCATTAGATTAAAGTAGATGAAAATTGGATCCATCTTGACCATTGTTATATTTTGATAAGACTAACTCTAATATTAGATAGATATTACATTCTTTCCATTTTTCGACAACTAACCAATGGGGCTTAGATGTAATGGTACTTCTTACCTTGTGAATGTTTTGTTTTCTTGAGATTAAAGATTTAAGCCCCTTCTCCCTCCCCTCCAAAAAAAATAAATAAACACAAATTCGACAACTAAATAAACCCAATTCAGATCCAGAACCCCCAAACAGACACATAAACCAGACTGTACAGATGAACTTCTGTATAAACTCATCTACACACTGACTAAGGTGGTGCGCAGGATGATTTCAAAACGTAGTTATTGATCATAAGCACTTCAAACCAAAAAGATAAAAAAAAAAAAGTAATTTTGGGTTGACTCGTTTACATGACTTTTTAGTAAGTATAATAATTACTTTCACCACTTAAAATAAGTTCATGAGTAGAAGTCAAAAGATGGGGGTTTGCCTTTTACCTTCATTGAGGAGTAACTGAAAGCTGAAAGAATGTGATTAACACGATTCCGTTAATACGATACGAATTAGAGAATTTGAGTTTTTCTTAAAGTTATCGGTTTCGTAAACGAGTAGACCTGACATGATACTATTAATAAACGAATTAGGCATGAGTAAAATTAATGAAAAAAAATACATGACATAACTTGTTTATACACTAGTAATTACTCGTGCCTGAAAGCACGGCATAACAAAAAATTAAATTCAAATTTGAAAAATACTACATTACCTAAAGACTCTTTGCAACAAAAAATAACCTGTCAATTTGAAATCAAAGTAGTTTATACTATTATCCAAAAATTTTGACAAAATTTTCTCTAAAAATAAGAACCCATAAAAATTTAAAATTGTCTACAGAACTTATAATCATACATAACAATCATTCCCAATCATAATTTACCATACCACCACAACCCGTGCCTGAAGGCACTGTATAATACAAAGAAAATTGAGCATTAGTTGTATCAAGAATTTAAAATCAACCTAAGGCCACTATTTTTTTTTAAAAAAAAATGGCAAAATTCCCTCTAAAAATAGTACACAAAAAAAAATACACAATTTATATATTTTGTACTCGTATCCAAAAATCTGTAGTTAACTTCAACTCCGAAATGTGAATAAAATTGAAAGTTATTATTTATACATTTATATATTACCAGATTAAAGTAAATGAGATTCATATCAATCTAATGATAGAGATAACAAATAAAACTTAACTACTATGAGAAATCACATCTTAGTCACATTATTCACACACATAAAACTGGAATGCTCATAAAGATGTTGGTATCAATATTATAAGCTTGTTGAAATGGGTTTCAAGCTACTAAAATATATATATATATATATAATATATAAACCAAATTTTATTCCATTCTAAAAAAATTACAAAGAATTAAGAGCAGACATGCCTGCTTTTTACAACCTCCACAACAAAACATGTACACAAGAAGAGACAAAATAACAAACAAGCCAAAAACATGTCTTTAATTTGAAATCCACAGCAGGCCTTCTAAACACATCCAGAAACCACCCTACACGATGCACAGCCTCACACTTAGCCCTTATCATCAAACAGTTTCTTAACCCAAAGCGCAGGTAAACCTTTCTGATCCTGTAGCAGAGCCATCTTTACTGCTAAAGGAAGCTGCCTTTCTACAGAGAAATCCGAAGAAGCACCATCCAACACAGCACAATTTGCCAAACCGTCGTCTACTCCATTAGCTTCCCTGTAAACATGTCTCAGCTGAAAATTCGTCTGACCAAACAGCCCCTTTATTTTTTAAAGGAAACCACTATAAGGCCAAGCACAATTAGCATCTCCCTTCACCGTAGAAACCAAGACCAAAGAATCAGATTCTATCTCAATCTGATTACCAATAAAACCATGCAATTTAAGAAGCTCCAAACCATTCAAAAGGGCTCTAAATTCCGCCTCCATACTGGTACAGTTACAACAGAAAAAAGAACGTGCTAATACCATTCCACCCCGTTCATCAAGCTACTAAAAAAATATAGCAACACAACCACTACTCAGTTCTATCAATCATTCAAAGATTTAAAAACCTTGACAGAACGACAAAAAAAATACATCAAAATTTTATGAAAAAAGTGAGTTTTAAATCGAGAGTAAAACGACAGCATACAATTTTGTGATTGAAAAAACTAATGTGAATAGTTCGTTGTCGATCCCGCTCTTATCTCTACATCAGTGTGTCGAACATATCAAAATTAATATCAATAGTATGCCTGATATGCATTGATTTCCATGACAACAATATTCCATTCCTACATGTACATATTCATTCACGTTCAAAGCAAAAGAAAGCATTCTCCTTCTCACACCCACTATTCAATTACATCTTGAATTGTTGTCTGTGGCCAAACAACAATCAGTAAGAGCTAAAACACATGCCCAAAATTATGTTCAAGCAAACAAAACTCATCTCTTTAATTCATTGTAGGAGCCAAAACCATAGCCACAACTAACAAAAGCATATGCACACCTCCCCAAGATATTCAATCTAAGTAATACAATTAGGATTAAGATTTGGATT